GAGACTAAATGTGATCTTAGGGGGAGCGGCACCACCACCACGAAGCTCCACCATGGCAACCACCGCGGTGGCCACCACGGCAATCACTCGCGGCGAGGTCCATGGCTCCACCACCACGACCCACTCTACCAAAGCCACAGCCCGAGCCATGTCACTCCATGCCCAACGCAAGCCCAATGCGTTACCAAACCGAGCCCAAGCCTCGCATTCACGAGCATCACGCGCCGAGCAGCCCACTCTCGTGGCCCAGTCTGCTCTCGCTGCCCAGCCTGCTCCTGCCGAGTAACCCACTCTCGCGGCCCAGCCTGCTCCTACCGAGCACCCCACTCTCGTGGCCCAGTCTGCTCCCACGGCCCAGCCTGCTCCTGCCGAGCAGCCCACTCTCGCAGCCCAGCTTGCTTCCGCCGAGCAGCCCACTCTTGTGGCTCAGTCTGATCCCGCAGTCGAGCCTGCTTCTGTAGCATTCCAAGCAGCCCAAATCGGTTCAAGACTATTTCGACCATTTGGACCAACCATCGAGTCGGGGGTATTTTCACCATATTTCTCTGCGGATTTAGCATTTCCCAATTCAAAGCTCGCACCCGGAGCCTACCACACTTCCACTGCTCAATGAGGCACATTACTTCCAAGCTCTTCCAATCCAATTGGCAAACAACACTTGTCTCGACAAGTCATAGAGTTGACGAGCGCCCTTGCACAACAAACGACCTTGGTGAATCAACTTTTGCAGCGCACCGAGATCCAACATGCCCCGAACGAGGTGTCACGAAGTAAGATAAGGGTAGACGAATCTTTCCAGCAGCGTCCATGCAAGCAGCCATTCGACCAACCACGAGCCGAGCGTTCAGGCAATGTACATTCTCGATTAGGCCTCTGAGATAACGTAAACTCCCGTCTTAGCGCACGGATGAGCGTGCACTCTTGACTGGGCCCGATGACAAGTATACACTCACGGTTGGGGTCACATTCCGATAATAAACATAAATAGCCTTTCAGGCAAAACGTTTATTCGCGGATAGGCCCGCAATGAGTATCATTCACATCACATCGGAGCAGGCAGCACGACGGATAGAGAAAAACAGTCACTCAATCCGACTCAAGTTTAACTGGCAGTCTGCGAAGAATTCCCTCGTTTGCCAAAAGTGGACCACATGCACCCTGCCACGGCGTTGACGAGCTGAGAACATAGAAGAGCAGCCTAGACTAGCAGGTCAAGACCGGGGCAACCGAGAGCTCTGCCACCCCCAACAAAGGCAAATTCAGGAAGAAGTAGAAATGCTCATGACCAAGCGATTGCGTAATTTCCCGCGCAACAAAGCTATTAATAAGACGCTCCGATGAGACATGACCAACATAAGCGAGTCACCTTTCAATGACAAGATCGAGCAGACGGGATTACCCCACATAGATTGTTGAATATAAAGATAACTTCTGCTCCGACAAACATAACAGCTCAACCTAATGGCGCACCGGGGGTAGACGAGTACCAGAATGACACACTAGCCCAACTACCAAGAACCGGGGGCAGGCTAAGGATTATTTCAATTATCTCATCAGTCCAGCTTTCCTCAGTTGCACTCATAACAACGACTTCCATGCTCTCCAGTGCGAAAGGGTAAACCAATTCCCCGACACCCATATGGGTCTGCTCTCTCAGCGTGAGAGGTTAAACTAATTGCTCTCCAGTGCGATAGGGTAAACCAATTCCCTGACACCTATATGGGTCTGCTCTCCAGCGCGAAAGGTTAAACTAATTGATCTCCAGTGCGAGAGCCCGACACCCATATGGGTCTGCTCTCCAGCGCGAGAGGTTAAACTAATTGCTCTCCAGTGCGAGAGCCCGACACCCATATGGGTCTGCTCTCCAGCGCGAAAGGTTAAACTAATTGCTCTCCAGTGCGAAAGGGTAAACCAATTGCTCTCCAGCGTAAGAGGTTAAACTAATTGCTCTCCAGCGCAAGAGGTTAAACTAATTGCTCTCCAGTGCAAGAGGGTAAACCAATTGCTCTCCAATGTGAGAGGGTAAACTAATTGCTCTCCAGTGCGAGAGGGTAAACTAAATCCCTGACACCCATCTGGGTAAGCTTTCCAATGCGAGAAGGCCACATAGTTCAAAAGATCGAATGCTTAAATATCAATTAAGTAACAAATGGTTAGGAAGCAGCAACCACTTTTACACTTAACAATTCGCTCATTCGACATTTCATCTTCAGCAACTCTGATCTTGGCAGCTTCATCCTTGACTGCTCCATCTACGGCAGCTGAGAAATCAAACTCAAGTAGTTTCCTCATTTTTGGCAAGCAGCCCAGATATGGCAGCCCTAACCGTTGTCCATGCCACGCCATTTCCTCGACCCATGCCGAGGCAATCCTTGGTTTCAATCAAGCCGAGAAACACAAACAATGGCCCCTGCCACACCACCTCCTTAGCCCATGCCAAGCCGACTCCTGGCCCCTGCCAGCCGACGTGCCGCACCACCCCAACGGCTGCCCCGTGGCACCACCTCCCAAGAAGAAGATAAGGAGAATTAAGTTTTCCTTACATCGGTGTAGCGCGGAGAAGACAAGGAACGCAACGAAAGACGGTCATTTGCACAGACAAGATGTAGAAGATTGCTAGAGGAGGGGGAACAAATATCCTCTAAGCTTTCTCTCTCTTGTAGGGTAGAATAAATCGCTATCCAAAGTTGATTTAACAACCCACTTAAGGTGGACTTAAATAGGCTTTGAAAGAAATTTATTTCCCTTTCCTAGAAGGATCTAATTTCACATTAAAGAGGGAATCAACATCAAAATAGGAAGCAGTCTTAATTTTCCTAAAGCAAGAAGATCTCTACACCTGTTGCCCTTTCCTACGAGCAGCCCAGCAGGTGTGGGGGCATTTGTGGAGCCAAAAATAATCACAAGAGGACACGTGGATTTTTTAGTAAAAGAGGACCAAACTACCCTTGAGGCACACCGGGATTCCTACATGCGAGCAGCTCAAAAATGCTCCAAAGAGGTAACAATTCAATATTCATCTCATCAAATTCCCTTTTTTGCAAAGTAACCTCCAAAATAATATTAATTGGTAAACTAATAGATTAATTACCCAATTAATCCATTAATTACCTATTAAATTATACAATTTAACCTAAAAATTGTTAAAGGGCCGGCCACTTCCTTTTCATCCTCACCTTTCTCACTTTTCTCCATTTTATTACCCCATTTATACAAATAAATAATTTTGTAACCTCCCATTTACTTCTTTCATACTTAATTAGCCAATAAATTGGCTAATTAAGCTAAAACCATAACCACAAAATCCCTTGAAAAACCGGCCACTCATAGCCCTATAAATAGGCTCCTATTTTCACCAAACACTCATTCCAACACTTTGGAAAAAATCCAAAAAAACTCTCCAAATACTTTTCTCTCTAAATTCTAACTTTGGCATCGGAGGTTCTTCGACCAAAGCCTCCTCCCCATTCATCGTGGGCGCGTGAGGCTCTTAGCCTTGACCTAAGGTGTTAATTGTTTTGTAGGTGCAATTTTGTCCAAGAAGAAGAAGGCGGGAATTTGCATCCACACTTATGGCGTATACATTGCTAAAATGTTATAATTGTCGAGTTTAATGTCTTTCAAATAAGTTCGGAGAAGTATATGAGATGTAGTTAGAAAGAAAGTCAGAGTCTTAATCAAATTAAGAATTGAGGTTGTCGTACATTATTAATAGACTTAATGCATACAAGCTTTCGATTGTGTCTATTAACTGCAAATTTGTAAGATATCCTTTAGAAACTTTGAGTCCCATATGACTTTTGGAAGTGCCAACCAAATTTGGACACCAGGTGACACAACAAAGACATTATACCTACAAGCAATAAAATGGGCTTTAAGAGGAAGATAGGAAGATAGCATTGATCCAAAATTATACAAAGTCACATGTCAAATCTTAAAAGTTTGCGTTAATTCATGTTAATTCTAAAAATTACCAGATTAATCCAAAAGGACACAAAGTCACACATCAAATATCAAATAACACAATGCTGCTCCAAAATTCGAATTGGAACTATGTATGGTTGATCTCTCACAAAGATCATATGTAAACAATAGTACAAAATTTTAGACGTAACCGTGCTTCCCAAAACAAATGGATTTTTCATATCAATCTTGGCAAAAGCAACATCGTATTCTTATTCCCCAATCCCTTTAAGGTCATACAAACATCCATGCTCTATCTGGTGGATGAGTACTTAGTAGTTGCTAGTTGCTACCATTGTATCTTGGAGGTCATAAAAGGTAACATCATCAAATTTCTTGTTGAGAGGGTACTCAATGCCTTATGAGCAATAACTATGCTTTGTTGGTTGGACAAGTTGAAATTACGCTCCATCATCAACCTCTTGAATTAGGCAATGAAATCCTTTGTAGACTCATGCACGTATTGTTTCACTTTGGTCAGGTCACTGATAATCACTTCGAACTCGATCCAATAGACTCACTCATAATAATTTATTTCCTTTTGTCTCCAAATGTGAATCGAATTGGCTGGTAGGTTGGCGTAACCTGCTAGATCTTGCCTTATCAGACTCTTTTAGGTTGATGTCATATGCTCAACCTTCTGCCTCTTGGGCTAGTGGAATCCTCATTGGGCCTTACTTGGCTTGATAAGCCCCCCTTGGTTTTTGTGAATCTATCATGAGGGAGAAATTTTTCAGTATGACTGATGGTACATTACGTGTTACTATACAAATGGTGGGATATGTACTAAAATGTTAATAACTTAAAAAATAAAAGTTTCCACTACTTTTATTAAAACACGTGATGTACCACTTGTATTCCCATCATAATAAAAAATTTGTCCACACGAGCCATCGTGAACTTAAGAAGACGGGCGTAAGAAAATGATAATTCAAGTTAATGGTCTGTCTAGCATCACTCATGAAAAAATCAAGAGTTGAAATTAGGTTAAATAAGAGACAGTTGTCAAAGGGAGGGGTGGAGTCACAGCGTAGGCTGGGCAATGGCTCTTTCGGCACTGCGTGGTCCCTCGTATATTTAATCAAATTTTAAACGTTTTAACCTCCACCTTTGGAGCCAGTTTTCCTGTTTTGAACTCTCTCCTTTCCTGAGCCCAAGCCTGAGAGTGAGATCCATTGCCAATACCGCTTGCAGTTGCAGATCTCCACAGCTCCAACTTCTTCACCTCCTACGGTAATCCAATACTCTCTCTCTCTCTTGCTCTCTCTCACACACACAGAGATGGCGGATATGTATTACTTAATCGAATGAATGAATCTTGTTCAACTTAATTTCCTATGGCTCTTGGAGCGTTACCCAGCTCAGATCTGTAGTCATTGTGATACTGTTGCTCTCAGTTTAGACCATGGAATTGCGATATGAGTTCCTCTTTCGTTCGAATTGTTTACATACCTAAATCGGACTCGCGAGCTCATCAATTTTGGTTTTCTAGTGAGTAATTACTGAATTTGAATTGTTGAAGTGAATTTGAATTGTTGAAATACAGTTTCACTATTTGATTGCAGAAAGTGAATCTTTTAAGTTTGAGATTACTTTCGTTATGGACGGAATTTACAAATTCAGCATAGATTGTTGCTTCCATGCTGAAAATGTTGCAGTTGCCCTTATAATAATTGTTTTAGTCTTATACACAAAGGGCATCTGAAAACCCTAGCTTAAGATACTGTGTTGTAGCTTGATAGTAATATCTGCAACAAGGATGCATGTATTGATTTTATCTTTCATTTTTCTGTAATGCCTCTGCAGCCAGAACCTTAATTCCAAGCCAAGTTGGTTCTGCTGGTCCTTCGAATAATGAACTCAAATCTCAGCAACAATGCACCGGCCAACAGTGTGCTTGGTTCATCTGTGTGCCATAAGCAATCCACATTACCGGTAAAAAAGGTGGTGTTGAGAGATGTACAGAACGATAATAGAAGCTGTACGCCTAGTTATCCTGAGAATTCTTTTCTAGGACGGCTGCTCGCAGATCCAATTAAGGTTTCTGGAACTAAGATACTCAGCCCTGAGTTTGCGCGGAGCCCTCCTTGCCACCAGTTCACGAGGATCAGCGATCCAAGTGATCATCTCATGCATGGTGGGGTTGTGAAGAAGTTAGACTCAGAACTAGGAAAGCGAAGAGCTCAAGGTGTTAAGGAAGATTGCCTAAATTTCAAACGACATTGTTCGCAAAAGGCGCCAGACCTACCTAAAGAAAGAAACAAGAAGCAAGAGTTAGAGACATCTTGTTTACCTGCATTTTCACCAACGCATTGGGCTTCTCCGATTAAATTCTCACCTAGTAGACCACCAGTTCCAAATTTTCTTAGAAAGTCTAGTAATGGCCTTCCAGCTGCTAATTCCAAGCACCTTAGATTTACTCCTGAATCTGAAGTTCCCCAGTCAGTTCTTTCTGAGAGGAACCGTGATGAGGAAAGGACAGAACGGTTTCTACATCTGCAGAACCTCTTGAAACACTTTGACGAGTCTGATCAGAGCGAATATCTCCAGAGTATGTCACTGTTTTCTGGCAATGCTTCTTTAAGATAAAATTTTGCTCTACTAAATGTTTCCAGTACTGAAAATCTCCTTGTTCTGAATGTGTTATCAGTGCTTCGTTGTTTACCTTCATCCGAGCTTAGCAGACATGCCGTTGAGCTAGAGAAAAGATCGATGCAGCTATCAGTTGAGGAAGGTAATCGTATGCAAATGTGTGCTATGATTCACAGTTTAATGCTTGCTCTCGGATCCTCCCTTTGATTTCTTTAATTAAATCACTTCTAGTAATCAATGCATATTATGCAGCAAAAGAGATCCAAAAGATGAAAGCTCTAAATATATTGGGGAAGTGAAAAGCATTCAAAACACATTTGTATCGTTAGCTGTGAAGTTCATATTGAGAAACTGACGCTGCCTCGTCTACTGCAATATGTCACTCATGGCGTTTTCTCCAACAAGAGCAACAGGTAGGGTTTTACTCTTACCTGTGTATTATCTCAATTCAATTCGTCACTGCTCCAAAATTGTCCAGACTACATAGACCTTTGTTTTCACATTTTTGGTGTCTTTTCTAGGGCAGAAGAGGTTGTAATTCTTTGCTTCAGTTTTGATTAGGTTCGATGTTTTAGACAAACAATTTTTTTTATAATGATAAACTAGAAATCTCACAGGCAGAGACTTGTACATCAAGTGATTAAGAGCGTTTATCCTTGTTTCGAGGTCTTTTATTCAAATTTCATTCTCCAGTATCGCTTGTATCAAAAAAAGAAACGTCATACATGCTATACATGTGAGAATGACAGTTACTACACGAGGAATCGAGAGTTTAAATCGGACAATAGTTGTTTAATTATAGACCAACAAAAAGAAGAAAAATCTAAATGAGCTTATGGAGCGAAGCAAGAGCCATGAAAGTGATTTTTTTCTGGTGGGTGTTTGATGTAACAAAATTGGAGTGGGCGAGAGAGGCTTTTGTGGCTAACCTCACCTCACGGCCCATTCCAACCTTATCAGCATATTGGCTGTATTTGGCAGCCTTCACACACACTACTTTTCTAATATTATTTTTTGGAGTTTTTTAGGTTACTGTGTTGGCCCATTTAGTTTTTGTGTTGTCAGGTTGCCAATTTGGTTATTGTGTTTGTTTTTAATTTATTTTGTAATAATCAATTTTTTTTAAGATTTCTAGAATTATGAATGGATACTGTCTTAGATTAGCTAACGAGGCCAATACGAGGATCAAATTAGTCAAATCGAAAACATATGGATTAAATTAATTTTTTATTAAGATAATATATTTATATTACTGGTGATCATTATGTTATGTTACAAAATGAGTCAATCAAGAAAATTTAGTGTCAACTCGTCATTTACAGAAGTCGAACCTAATACTCTTTATAATTAATAAAAGTATCACTAAATTGTAGTACGAAGTGATACTGTTCGTTTTTTGTAAAAACTAGCTAAGAGCATCCTTAAGAGAAAGCACTAAATTTTATGTTAAACGAGCAAGTGAACTGTATCAAAAAAATTCCAGTAACTACTCAGTTTAACTTTTTATGTCGAAATTTTAAGAGACTTTGAATATGTTTTATTATTAACAAATCCAATCTACTCGTTTCATTAAAAAAAACAAAAAAACTCCACTAGTTTTATTTATTTTTAATATTTAACAGGTGAATTTTGCTCTCTAAATTTCAAGAATGATTGCTCCTTTGCTATAATTAAATAGTCTTTTACAACATTTATTAGAGAGAAATTTCATAAATATAACTTTTTTTTTAACAAACGATATGATTAGCACTAAAAGAGAGAATGTGGGCTTAGTCTCATAATGAGTTAGCAATTATGTGGTTCAATTCGCCTTTGGCGAAAATCGAGCATAAGACCTCTCACTTACAAGTGAGGAGAAATATCACTAGATAGTAATACTATGTGGCTAAATTTAACTTTTTAAAATAATAGAAACTTTTCAGTATGTCGAGAACACGGCTTAGCCTACTAGTATCATAATATTATTAACTGATTAAAAATTTATCTCATACTATAATGACACTTAATGCACAAAACCATATTTCTAACCCATTAAAAATCTCTTCTAAGAGTTTTGATTGTTTTATATAAATCTTCAAGAGATGCCTCTAATAAACCACCAAAATAGGGTGTTGTAACTTGTAATTCAAGTTTTCAAAGCATATCCCAGAATCAGATAGTCTTTATGTAATTACAAAGAGCACACGTTTCAAGGTGTTTATCGTATACGTGGCGTCGTAGGAGCGTACAATGTCAGCCGGCATCAGTGGTTGCGCATAGATGTTAGCAAAACACCAAAACTAGGATAAGGAAGGATGAATGCATGACGTTCTCAATTTTTTTCCACCTTGATCTCTGTCTTTTTGCGATTACCATACAAAATATCAGCGACGTTTCGCAATATATCGCATACCTGCACGCTAATATTGGTTCTTGTCGTTTGAATGATTTTTCACTTGTACCTAATTATTAATATAATTATATGTAAGGTGGACTTATATTTTTATATTTGAAATTGATAAAGTGTTTTTTTTTTAATTTTTAAAGGAAGACAATTGGTGACAAGTCACAATTATCTATTCCTTTAAGGTCCAGAGAAACTATTTTTATATGTGAATTTATAAAGCGTTGATTCATTATTTTTTTAAGTGGATATTGTATCATGTGTGGTACTTTTTTTTCTTGTTTCGATATGTTTTTAGGTAGTTTTTTCTTTGAGAAGATTTTACCGAAGGCCACACTATTAATCTCCAATGATATATCAAAAAGTAGGCAAATTAAGTGGCAAAATTATATTTCTTTCATCTATAACATCTTTATTTATCTTTTAGCTTTGTCATCTTTCTCCACTTTTATTATAGAGATATATGTGGCGCCCTATTTGCCTACTTTGAGAAAATAGGCAAAATTTATCAATTGACTATTACATTGGAGTTAGTTTTTGCCTATGTGACTCATTAAAATGAATTCTCTTCCTTACATGATTAGAGATGTTCTAAGACTAAAAGCATATTCAATGAATTTTTTAATGAGCTTTTAACTAGATTTAGAGAAAATGTAAAAATTTAATCTCTAATCACACTCCATGCTAAGAGCTTTTTAAGCATAGATAAAATCGAGTTCCCACTCTGATTTGTCATTTAAGCGAAGAAAAACTCAAATATTTTCTTCTCAAACAACGTGGGTACAAAATTTGTGAAATTGGGTTGATTTTCTTTGATGAGACAATACTCTAATTTAAAAAAAAAATATTATTCTTATTAAGAGGAGTGGAAGGGTTGAAAACTATTACAATAATGAGTTTCAAACCCAAGACTCATGAATAAAAAGTCAAAACCACATTCGCCTGAATGTTGGACTACATGCAAAACAATACTATAACTGAGAGAAGAGGAATCTCATCAGATTTTTTTTTATAAATATTATTGCATTGAATATATCACACGAAAACCTGTATGTCTAGTATTTATCATTTTTCTATGTAAAAGGACTTAGTGATAATCATTCCGACTTTGTGACGATAAATTGGTGAAGATATGTAGTGACCTTCTAACTGTGTGTGTGGATAAAATTTAGAAATTTAATCTCTAATCACACTCCACACTAAAAGCTTCTTTAAGCGAAGATAAAATTGAGTTCTCACCCTGAATTGTCATTTAAGCAAAGACAAACCCAAATATCTTCTTCTCAAACGACGCGGGTACAAAATTTGTGAAATTAGGTTTATTTTCTTTGATGAGACAATACTCTAATTATTTTTAAAATTATATTATTAAGGGGAATGCAAGGATTGAAAACTATTACAATAATGAGTTTTAAACTCATGACTCATGAATGAAAAGTCAAAACCATATTCGCTTGAATATTGGACTACATGCAAAATAAAACTATAACTGAAAGAAGAGGAAAATGAATAAAGAAACCCTATAAGTCTAATATTTATCATTTTTCCCTTTAAATGGTGCAAAATTCCGTTTCAAAGGAGTTGGCGATAATCATTACGACTCGTGACGATAAATTGGCAAAAATATGTAATGACCTTCCAGCTGTGTGTACGTTGTTGCCAAAGATAACGTGAGGTCGAGAGAGGAAATTGGTAATTTCATACAAAATCGCGCGGGACGCCCACGGACCACGACCCATACCCAAAGCCAAAACTCAACGTCTATAAATACCCCAAATTTGCTTGCATTTCATCCTTCGATTGCCCGCCTGAGAGAGTGGCTTACCCCCTTCCTTTGCTCACCTCTTACCTTCTCCATCAAGCTCTCTCTCTCTAACCTGACCTTCCTCCATGGATCCTTACAGGGTACTACTCTAATCTTAATCTTAATCTTAATCTTAATCTTTCTGGGATGTTTTCTTTTTTACTTGTTTATGCTCTTAATTGATTTATTTAAGTTTGATTTTCTTGTTGAATTACTTTTCTTGTTTATTTTCTCGGCTACCAAACAGAGCCCTCTCTAATGGATTTGGGTTTGTTTGTTTTTGTGTGTTGTTGCAGCACCGCCCTTCAAGTGCTTTCAATTCCCCGTTCTGGACCACCAATTCTGGTGCTCCAGTTTGGAACAACAACTCTTCTCTCACTGTTGGACCCAGAGGTGATTTAATTCTTTATCCACCTTTAATTTATCTATTTGTTTATTTGCTTTTGACGGATTTTCAATTGTAAAATTTGCTTCAAGTTTTACTTTTTTGCGTTTTTTTAGTTGCACATCGCTTTTCAAGCACCTTGCGAATAATCATAATCATGTTTTGATGCTGTTATCTTTGTATGCGCGGATATTCTGTCTATGTTATTGTGAGCTACAAGATGACTTTTTGGATGTTTGTATCGGATTCTCTCCCCTCTTATTTTCATCCCCTTCCCTCCCCTCCTCTCATACATTGTTTTTTGTCTTATTGTTTCTATAAAAAAAAACTCAATATAAGATGTTGACGTGGCTTAACCGTGACCTGTGACCGTTCAAATAGGAGCGGAGGGAAGGAGAGAGAGATTAAGAGGGGAGAGAATCCTCCTCCGTTTGTATCACTACCAAGTTGAAGATGATTATTATTTTGAAACTCTTGTTGTTTTTCAGATATATATGCACACACACATATATATATATATATACACGCATATTTATATAGTTTGTATTTGAAGTTAGAATTTTCCCTATTTGACATTTATGTTCAAATTTCTCAACTATAGTTCCCAGTCTGTTGGTTTTCAACGAATTCCTGCGGGTCCCTTTTTTTCATTGCTTCTTGGGTTGTCAAGATGATTTTTTGATCGCCTGGTTGCCTGAAACTAAATAAAAGTTACTATCTTTGCAAGTGAGAGCAGTCATCTATATTTGACATACTTTATAAAATGTATAGCCGCTAATTTCATTTTTATCACATCTTTTGCATGTAATCAGGATGGTTGATTATGTCGAGTTGAGTAGATGCAGTTAAGAATTTAATTATTTGTCTATTTGTCAGGTCCAATTCTGCTTGAGGACTACCATCTGGTGGAGAAACTCGCCAATTTTGATAGAGAACGGATCCCAGAGCGTGTTGTCCATGCTAGGGGAGCCAGTGCAAAAGGTTTCTTTGAGGTCACCCATGATATTTCTCACCTTTCATGTGCTGACTTCCTTCGAGCCCCTGGAGTTCAGACACCTGTCATTGTGCGTTTCTCCACTGTTATC